ACTTCATTATACTTACTCATTAGGAGAGACAAGGATTGGCAAACAGCAGCAACACAGCAGTCTTTGCCTTATTCACACACAACCTGCAGCCTGCTGCTTAAACCCCAGGATGTGAGTGAAAGGCAGTAATTATGTGTGCTGTGTTACACAGCAGAGGGAGGGGCTGACAGTACAGGTGGTAATTCTGCAGTGACAAAATAGAGGAAAGGGGGGTAATTTGGAAGCATCAGCCTAGAGGGAGAGCAGTTATAGTGTGGCAGGGATAACTAGGTAATTGCACCGTACAACAGCTGAGGAAATATGGGCAGCTAAGCTGCACTATTGCAAAAACAGGCTCAAATGCAGCAGGAGGATTTTGCCATGTTGTATTCCACAGTAGAGGAGAGGGAGGCAGGTAGGAAAGGGGATCGTCACAGGAATCTGGTTGCCAACATGCCGAAAGAAGGAATGGGAGAATGACATTACTGAACAAATTGACCTAAGAGTGCAATCAGATGGTGATGCAAGATTGAACTGAACTGAACTGCACCGGAAAGGGTCACTTCACCAGGTGTGCTCTCCCTTGAAACAACCATTCAGTGCACATTTGAGTTCTCATCACTCCAGCCCAGCTCCGAAAAATGTGAAGCCCACTGCTGGATCAAAAATGTCTGGATTGGGCACGGAGCAGGGATTGGGCTGGTTTGCAATTTTCTATACATCGACTGGTTGCCGTAAAATATCTCAAACCAGACCGTGCCATTAGCAGCCCACAACATGAGCTGGATCACCATCCGATCACAGTCGAGCTGGCATTTCCCAGGCTAAGCTGAAGGTCCATTCTCCTCAAATCTAGCAATGCAGTACTCTGCTAAAACAGAAATGTACAAGAATGCCTACATTCAGGGAAGGCTGCTTGTAAAATTGCTATCTTGGCCCCACTAATTGAAGAACCATGTTCTCCCTCCTGCTTGTGCTTTTAAGACTATTGGGAGTGGCATTAGCCTCACTCCTGCTGCCACTGGAGGCACATCTCATGGGGACACGAGACAGGCCCTTCTCAGTGGCCAACCCCAAGCCCTGGCGCTGCAGGGCGGGTGGGTAGGGAGGCCAGACAGACCTCTTCTCTGTGGTCCTTCTCTAGGCAGGCAAAGACCTCTCTTATTCAGTCAGGCTTTGGGCATTTAAGCTAGGTCACGGTTGAAACTGTGGGTCGGATATTCTTTATTTCTCTCTTTTCTCTGCTTCTATCGTTTTATTATTATTCTATCTGTATTATGAATCATTTAAATCTGCTGTTATTTCTCACTTGTGTTTCCATTTTTACTGAAATGTTTCCTGATTAGTTACCCTGAGTGCCATTTTTGGTCACATGGTGGCCTATAAATTCAATAAATAAATATGCATAACTTTGGGTAATTTGAGTACAAAATGCCAATAATGGGGAAAATTGTACATAAAAAGAAATGTAACTTTTGTGCAGGTCTGTTTAATTCAGACTGATGTGGGTGCTTGTGACTGAGTACACAAGACAATTATACAGTCCACGGTAGCGCTCTGCCCAGCTCTAGGAACTCCTATTAAAGTACAGGATAAAGTACTATCACTCCAATTTTAGCATTATTCATCTGCACCATACCTTACTGGACATTTTACTGACTACAGAGCTCTTTCAAGTCACAGCTCAGGATCCATGGAAGGAGAAAAACGGGCAGGATGAAAGAATAGATTTTCTTTTTCTTCTTGACAGATAAGCAGTTTCCCTGGCAGAACTGAAAGAAAAGCTGTGAGTTTAGTAGCCACCCCGTTACATACAATTTAATTTCTGGTCATTGGATAAGGCAGCCCATTCTTGCAAAGACTACACCAGTTATAAAGGTTTGGCGGCCACCCTGCCGGTACGTAATCTATAAACTGTCAGCAGTTAGTTTGACTCCTGTGGAACCCACAGTATGCACTGCCTGTGCCGATCAGCCCTAGAAAATATGAGATTCTATACCTGGGTGAGCAGCTGAGAAACCCAAGGAAAGAAAAGTCCTCCTGGGCAGGGCTGGAACCGGTCATTCATTGCACAGCTTCTTAAAAGATCCGTTGCCGCTGGTGTTATGAAACTATGGGCACCCCTTGGAAGCGCCACTTTTAGGGGCTACAGATCCCAGAAACCACCAATCAGCACAGCCAGCAACTGGAAGTTTTATGTTGGGACCTACAGATGTTCAAAGAAGCACGTCCAGACTCAGGTTATGCAGCAATGTGTAAAGTCACGACCTCTTCTTCCAGCAAATCCTTTGTGCAACCAGAACCTTGTTGATGCCAGATTCCAGAAAAAAAAATTTTTAAAGGGGGGACTGGCTTTTAAGAACAAGTTTGAAAAGTAGGCTTGCAGTTCTTGGTCTTGGTGGAGGTTCTAGTCATGAGTGTTTTCTGCCAGGGGAAGTTTTTTTTTCCTCTAATGCAGCTGCTAATTGTATAAATGGTGTCTTGTAGTCTGGTCCCAAATGCACCATATGCTGGAGACCAAAAAAAGCACATGATCCCTTCTGGCCTCACCAGCCAACGTCTTTTATCTGCATTTATTGCAATGTGCAGGGAAAACATCACACTGTCTTTACATAAGATTCTAAGGCGACCTTTGGTGGCAGGGAGAAGCTCTCCTCACATGGGACACCACTGGGCCCCACTGAGTCTTGCAGCTGCTTCATGCAAAGGGAACTAGCCCTCTAGTATATGTCCAACACCCTCATTCCTATGTAACGTCACTTGGAAATGGTGCCAAATGCACTGCCAAACACACCTTCTTCCAGGGAACTCTGGCTGCTAAACCCGATCTCTTAGTTCAGCATGTTTAATCCTGGGTTGTTGACAACACCACCGAATGCCGGTGGCCTAGATAATCATCATCATCATTCCTCAGTCTAGATTTTCTAGACTCCTGGGAACGCTGGGTATGCCAAATGCTGCTCCTTCCTGACTCTAGGGCTATGCTAGCTGGGGCTGATGGGAATCAGAATCTGATCCGATGGAGGCCACATAAGCAAGATGGCTTGTCTGTGTCCTGTGCTTATTGCCTGGAAAGGCAACCCACCTCCCCCTTTCCCCACTTGGCGAAAAGGCCAAGAAAGGGGCTGGAGGGAACCCCCTCCGCCCGCCCACCCCCGTGCGGAGATTTTGCAAGGCAAGGGAGAAGGCCAAGCCCGAAGCCTGGTCTGGAAACGACGGCGAGAAGACAGGGCGACGACGCAGGCCCTCTTTTGCCAAGAGGCCGATTAAAATTCTGAGCAGGCACCACAGCCGGGACAAACCAGCTCTCCCCACCACCACCACCACCACCCCCACCACCACTGGCAGGTGACGTCATCGCTAGGCGTGTGGGGGAAGGGCGGGGGAGACTCCAGAACTCTCTTCCCCCCCCCGCCTTCCTCACTGCAGGGGCCGCGCTTGGACCGGCCCAG